AGCTAGCATTAATTTAAACTTGTCCAAATTTCTGATTAGACTATACATGCATTTAAATGCATGACAGAAAAAGTCGGACTGTGCAACTCAGTTAATATTTTGGCATTAATTTCTCCTTCTGTAAAATAAGACAAATTAGCATCCAGATCAAGATAGTTAACAAAATTGTTATTAAAATTAGTTTGGTTAGGATTGAATATAAGAGTTTCTAAGTGGTTGTTATTGTAATTTATTCGGCAATGGGATAGTTCATAAAGCATTAAATTGAAAGAAGCATTATCCAAATGATAAAACGGCAGGTTTGATATCACTTCGAACAGCTTGACCACTGCAGCTAAAGAAAAAGGCATTGGCTTAAACAAATTTAAATGTATTCTTGACGGTACATGATTTCAGTACTATACATATACTTGTTTGTAAATATTTTTATCTAAGCTTTAATATGTGTGTAATATTATATTAGGAAATTTTATTAGTGTGATGCATGTAAACGGCCCCTTGAAAAGCAGGTGTATATTTGAGCCCTGAAGGGTTACCGTTTTAAAATATTTTTACATAATAATAATAATAATAAAATAATAAAGTATTATGAGATGTTGACATCATTGCATAATTTCGTTAGGATATGTTAGCTTTGTTGATTAAACTTGTCCAGCAAGATCTTGTAGGTCGCCTGGCTTCTTCGTTATTATTGGGCGTGAATATTCAGTTTTTTGCAGATAGATGGTTGAGTTCTTAATCTAACAGAATCTATATGCATACTGTTGTTGGAATTTCTTTGCTTCTATTAAAAGCTTTTGTTCTTTTGGAGTGAGGTGATCATAGACTCTGGTGTTTAATATTGAAGCATCCGATGGCAGACCAAAGACTGTCGGTTCAATTTTGTTAGCATCTTGTCTGTGGATCATAACTTGTTCTTTAATACATCTTCTCATAAATTTACAAATTATAGACTTATGATAAGCTGGATTTCTAGATGGGACTCTGTGTGCAATATCAATGTCTTGTGAAGTAATATCCACACCCATTTTTTGAAATAATTTAACACAGAGATTAGAAGTTTCTTGTGCTGATTCTTTTGATTTCAACTCTGGTATTCCGATGATCTTTACATTGTATTGATAACTATATCGTTCAATATTATCAATCGCTTCGCCAATTTCATCTACTCTGGCTGTCAGGTTATCGAGCTTCTTGTTTAGTTGAACAAACTCTTTTTGGCTTCGCGACGAAAGCTTGATAACTCATAGCCATTGCTTAAAAAATCGAGACTTTTATTCGTTTCGTTTGATATGCTTGAATGGACATCTTTTGTGTCATTGGATTGAGCAATACATCGCTCCAAAGTGGCTTCAAGATTCTTAAACTCCTTTCTCAGCATATTCACTTGTATCTTGAGCTCTTCATTTTCTAACTTTAGCGATTTAACTGTATCAGGCATGATACAAATTATACTTGAGTATTAAACATCCAATATTTCAATTGTTATTTGTAAAATGTTATTTGTATATACGTAGTAAATACGGAGCTCAAAAATGCACGTCTGAACTCTTTACATATAGTATAGTATAATTCACTGACTTGACTATCAAAAGTTTTCACGCTGTCTGTTATGCTGCACACTGTCTGTTATGCTGCACACACTATTATTAGTTACACTGGACAATTCACCTACTTTAATTTTAGAGCTCAATACTTGATAAAATTCCACTACCTCATCACTGGACATTAGTTGAATTGTATCGTGCGAAGTATTCATTATCCTATCTGGCACATGTTTACCCCTGGGATGTACTACAATATGTGAGATATGTATGTCGTGTTAGTGAGAAGAATGTGGTTTAACCATACCCACATTAGCTGCAGTTATTTTAGCCAACTTACCATCAATAGTAACCTCAGTTCTGGCTGGAATCACTACATCCT